CTTTTGGGTGTTGATTTTGTAGCCGGCCACTTTACTTAACCGACCTATTGTTTCTAGGAGCTTTTCTGTAGAATCTTTAGGATTTTCTAAGTATAGTATCATATCATCTGCAAATAGTGATAGTTTGACCTCTTCCTTTCCTATCTGTATTCTCTGGTACCTTTCTTTTGCCTAACTGCAATGACCAGGACTTCCAGTACTATATTGAATAGGAGTGGCGAAAGTGGGCAACCTTGTCTTGTCCCCGATCTTAGAGGGAAGACCTTTAGTTTTTTCCCATTTAGAATGATACTTGCCATGGGATTTTGGTAGATGGCTTTGACTATATTGAGGAAAGTTCCTTCAATGCCTATTTTGCGGAGAGTTTTCATCATAAACGGGTGCTGGATCTTGTCAAATGATTTCTCTGCATCTATTAATATGATCATATGGATTTTATCTTTTCTTTTGTTGATATGATGGATTATGTTGATCGATTTCCGAACATTAAACCATCCTTGCATCCCTGGGATGAATCCTAGTTGGTCATGGTGTATGATCTATTTGATGAGTCATTGGATTCTATTTGCTAATAGTTTGTTGAGGATCTTTGCGTCTGTGTTCATCAGGGATATCGGCCTGTAGTTCTCTTTCTTTGTGTTATCTCTGTCTGCTTTTGGTATCAGGGTGATATTTGCTTCATAGAAACTGTTTGGAAGTGTTTTTGATACTTCAGTTTTGTGTAAAAGTTTATAAAGGGTTGGGAGTAAATGCTCTTTAAAGATTTGGAAGAATTCACTAGTGAATTAATCTGGGTCAGGACTTTTGTGCATGGGGAGACTTTTTATTACCATTTCAATTTCCTTGATGGTGTTAGGTCTGTTCAGGTATTCCAGGTCTTCTTGGTTCAGCCTTGGAAGTCTATAGGAACTAGGAATTTATCCATTTTCTCAAGGTTTTCATGTTCTATGGCATAAAGCTTCTCAAAGTACTCCCTGAGGATCCTTTGAATTTCTGTAGTTTCTGTTGTAATGACCCCCTTTTCATTTCTGATTCGGTTTTTTAGGTTTTTCTCTTTCCCTTTCTTTGTGAGTATTGCTCGAGACTTATCTATCTTGTTTATTTTCTCAACGAACCAGCTTTTGGTTTCATTGATCTTTCAGATTGTTTTTTTGGGTTTCCATCTCATTAATCTCTGCTCTGAGTTTTATTATTTCCTTACTCCTGTTCGGATTGGGCTCCTTTTGTTGGTCATTCTCCAAGGTCTTAAGCTGTGAGAATAGGTTACTTATGTGGGCTCTTTCTTCCTTCCTGAGGAATGCTCATAGAGGTATAAACTTTCCTCTTAACACAGCTTTTGCTGTGTCCCATAAGTTTTGGTAACTAGTGTCCTCATTTTCATTCATTTCCAGCAATCTTTTGATTTCCTCCTTGATTTCCTTTCTAAGCCACTCATTGTCCAATAGTGAGCTGTTTAATTTACAGGTGCTTGATTTGGTTTTCTGTTTGTGTGTGTGAATTACTTCTAATTCCAGTGCATTGTGGTCTGAGAAGATTATTGATACAATCTGTCTTCTTAATTTTATGGAGGTATATTTTGTGGCTAATTATGTGGTCTGTCTTGGAAAATGTTCTATGCACACTTGAGAAGAATGTGTATTCAGCTTTTTGTGGATGAAGTGTCCTGTATATATCTACTAAGTCTCTTTCTTCCATTTTTCCCCCTCAGATGAAGTATGTCCTTGCTAAGCTTGAGTCTGGTTGATCTATCAAGAGGTAATAAAGCGGTGTTGAAGTCTCCCACTAGTAATGTGTTGCTATCGATGTCTTTTTCCAAGTCTATGAGTAGTTGTTTTAAGTACTTTGCTGGTCTTTCATTAGGTGCATATACGTTTAGTATTGTAAGTTCTTCCTGTTGTACAGATCCCTTGATCAATAAGAAATGGCTTCACTGTCTCCTGTGACCTTCTTCAGTCTGATATCAATATGGTCTGATACTAGGATGGCTACCCCAGCTTTTTTATGAGAGTTGTTTTCCTGTAGGATTGTTTTCCAGTCTTTGACTTTGAGCCTGTGTTTGCTCTGACTATTGAGATGTGTTTCTTGCAGGCAGCAGAATGTTGAGTTCAATTTTCTAATCCACCCTGCCACTCTGTCTTTTAATTGGTGTGTTTAGCCCATTGACATTGAGAGAGATTATTGTTATGGGGTTTTGTCCCACTTTTTCTGTTGAAATTTGGTATATTTGAGGGTCCTGTCTTGTCTTAAAGTAGCCCATTAGGTTGTTCTTGTAACCATGCTTTTGAGTCTATGAAGTTCCTGAGCCATTGTTTGTCTGTGAAACTGTGTGTTGTTCCTTCTGTTATGAATGAGAGTCTCAGTGGGTAAAGTATTTTTGGTGAGGCACTTATTTCATTGAGTATTTTCACTAATCCCACCACTGTTTTTGGGCCATGAAGGTTTCATCAGACAAATCGGCTGTGAATCTTAAGGATGCTCCTTTATAGGAAACTTCTTTCTTTGATCTTGCTGTTTCCAGAATTTTGTCTCTATCTAAGGTTTTGCTCACTTTTATCAGGATGTGTCTTGCAGTATTTTTATTCGTATTTCTTCTAGCTGGTGCCCTTTGGGCCTCCTGAATGTGGTCACATGTTTTCTTCAGCTCTGGAAATGTCATAGCAATGATGTCTTTGTCAGTTTCTTCTTCATCAGGGTTTTCTTCCTGTCCCTCTTGGACTCCAATAATTCTTATGTTACTCCTCTTGGCTTCATCACGATCTTCTCTTGCCATCTGTTCCCAGATTGTGAGTCTCGTTTCCCTTTTCTGCTCTTTTCTGGAAAGTCTCTGAACTTCATCTTCAAGCTCACTGCTTCTGTGCTCAGCAGCTGTTACTCTGCTGCTGAGGCCTTCCACTGAGTTTTTCAATTCAATTGTAATTTTGTTTGCATTTTCCTCATTTCTACATTTAAATCCTCTGGTCTTTTATTGGCATTGCTTTCCATTGTTTCTTTTAGCTCCCTAAGCATCCTCAGTAGCTCCCTTCTAAATTCCTTGTCAGAGAGGTTGTCTAGCACTTCATTGCTGTTGGTGTCTTCTGGGCTAGCCTCTTCAATAAGAAAGCTTGGTGGACTTTTGCGTTGCTTTACCATTGTGACCAGTGTGGTTTAGACCTTCACACTCACTGTTGCTATTCTGCTTGAGATGCAGAATGAATTGCGATGGGCTTAATGAATTATTGGCTAATATGTTTCTTGTGGTTAAGCTAACCTAGTGAAAGTTCCATCTAAGAGGGTAACTTATGGTTCCTATGGGATATGTAGGGGAGAATAACTTGCAGCAGCATTAACAGCCACAGCTCCAGGAAGGGGCCCTGCCACCAGGCGGGTGCCTGGATGAATGAGCAGAGGGTGCCTGGAACATTTCAGCTTTGGGTGTGCATGGTATGACTCAATTCCCATCCCCTGCAGACCAAGGATGAAAACCCGCCATTCTCGGGGGGGGGGGTCTAGTTAGTCAAGCAGCCCCAGGAAGGGGCCCTGCTGCCGGGTGGGTACCTGGATGAGTGAGCAGAGGGTGCCCAGAACGGTTCAGCTTTGGGTGCACGTGGTGTGCCTCCCATTGTCTGAGGTTTTACAAAGCTGTTTGGTTCTATTTGAGCATTTTATGTTATTGTTTTTGCTCATTTCGCTTCATGCTCATACATGTCTAGACTGATGAATTTTGATATAGTAGTACATAGAAAGTTAATTGATATGGTTTTTTGGTTCACATGGAGGCTAGTCTTTAAAATGCTATCATTTGTTGAGTTTTCTGGAACATCAAAACTTTCTCATCTAATTTGCTGTACCCCTGCAAAGTTGTCATTTCTGTTAAATTTGGAGTTGTCATGTGGCCACAAATATGGCCTGCACTCCAGGAACTGTGTAACTGGAACAATTTAGGAGCTCAGTAATCTCTCAAGATTTGTTGTGGAGCTGTGACACTGGGCCATGTATATGTGGAACTGGGCGGGGCACTGGGCCACTTGAAGGCAGGGATTCAGCCTGCCCCCATCTTGAGAAGGCTACAGAGATCTCAGCCTGGAGATTGGACTACCTGAGATGATTCAGTGGCAGTATCTCTTAGAGATCAGTTTTGGAGCTGTGAAGTTGAGCCAATTATATACAGGAGGAAGTTTCTTGATGGCTAGCTTGCTGTACATGGCATGCTCTCACTGAGATACCGTGTAGTGCATATGATCAAACTGACCCTCCTGCATACAAAATATACATGTCTAGACTGATGAATTTTGATATAGTAGTACATAGAAAGTTAATTGATATGGTTTTTTGGTTCACATGGAGGCTAGTCTTTAAAATGCTATCATTTGTTGAGTTTTCTGGAACATCAAAGAGGAGTATCCATAGTTATTTGAAAAGATTACGTGTTTCTAACAACATGGCTTTGTGAAACAGATTTTTCATACATTTCTAATCAAAATTATATATCATAATGGATTGAGTGCCAAAGCAAATATGACAACCAACTGCCTTCCATTAAGCCAGAGAATAGAAATTTGTTACATTTAAAGAAAGAATATTCTCCTCTCTAAAATATTTTTGTTCAACTTTTTTATTTTTTAATTTATAAAACAAAATCGATGCATATTACTCACATGGAGATAGGGGCCCTGAAATTACTACTAGTTATATCTACTACTGATGTAGATATAACTGAAGAAAATAGATTCACAATAAAATGGGTAATTGTTTAAATCATAGACCGACCCAAGTAGTTCAAATTCATGGCCATTTTTTTATTCTCTTATTTTATTATGAATGAAATTGAAACAATGATAATGCTTACCTTGACTTAAAGGACTAAATAAACAGGAAGGAGAGTATTTAATTCATACTCTGACCCTAAGGTAAGTTTTTATGTTACACATCCTTAAGAGCTCATGGTGAAAAATTTCACTACTGACTGCTTACAGAAACATCATGATAGTCTTAAGGGTCTTAAATGGTGTTTATCTTTATAGGATGGAATACCACTTCAGGCATTTGTGGCTAATGTTGCGGATCAAATTGTTGGTGTTGCAGTGACCAGAGATGAAATGGTAAATTGTGAAATGAATATATATTCCTTTTGTAGAAATTTTTGTATAAGGAATTAGCAGTTACTATGCAAACTTATTTTGCAGTTCTTTCCTTATTTAATATCAATGCTTAGTTTTCTTCTGAAAGACTTAAATGATATATGATTGCATTACAGTTTGCAGTCTTTCATGTCTCCTTTTGTAGTTCAAAATATTTCAAATATCACAAATACATAAAAATATTCACATTCTACAAATTCATTTAAACTTTCATCACCACAAAAAAATAGTTTCACAGCTCTCTCAAAGGGATTACAGTATTTGTATTTGGACATTTATCTTTATAGTGTTTCTTCACTTAGTTATAGGTACTGTGGGAATGGGAGTGTCAAGTGAACATATAATTGTAGTTTTTCCCAGTGCACAGACAGTTATTTCAGCGTATTTGTTATTGAGTAGTCCAATCTTTCCCTAATGATCTAAAATGTTTCCTTGACTTTATTAAATATCTGTATCTGATTTAAACCCATTGTTCAGTTCCACTGGGTTTCTTTGTTGATGCCTATCACTTTACAAGTAATTTTTGTACATGGTAGTAGAGTCTTCTCAAGTTTTCTTTTTCTAAATTTGCTTTATTTTGATAGCTTATTCTACAAATAAAGGTGTAATGTTTATAATGAAATCATTTTCATAAATGTGGATTTTATACAGCAGTTTAGGTAGAATTGACGAACTATTGAAATTTCTCCACTAGTAATATGTGTTTCTATCTACTTTTTCTTGAATTCTTTGGGATTCTTCAGGGAAGATTTGTGACTTTTTTCATATGGGTTTTTTGGTGCTAAATGCTTTGTTTATCCCTACAGGCTCACTTTCTACTATTCCTACCGTGTTCTGTCTCAGGGACACTGATCGTATGGACAACATAGTTACCTTTGCCATTGGCTTCTGTTGATTTTATATATATATAATTATATACATATATATATGCAAATTTTTTTCATGATGTGTCCTGTGTACCGTACCAGGATGACGTTAGTACACAGTTAACTGGGATGAAGCCCTGCTTCCCTCTTCCCAGTGTGGCCACCAAAGACTGGTGATAGGAGCAATGCTTCTGGGAACAGGAGCATGTGTCTGAAAATGTGCTTCAGAGCCCAGGATTACAACAGCACTACCTGTTTTGTAGATAAACACTCACCAGTCCTTCAGTCACCTTCCCACTATGTAAAAATATAATACCTTGGAGGTGGGGAGGAGGGGTGGAAGAAATGATTAAACAACACCAACAATTGAGGCACAACTTCATAGTCTTATTGTGTTTAACCCAGCCACATTACCTGTTTGCTTTGCACAAAGCCAGGAGTGAGCCCTTGTGCACTGGTGGGTGTGGCCCCAAAATTAAAAAAAAAAAAGAACTAGTGGGGTGACCTGCTTCTACATTAACAGTGAAGGTTGAATTGTGATGAGTACAGAGGATGCCTGTGGGTGTTTGCTGCTCCTGAGGGTTCTGCATGCTTGGTCAGCCATGCTGAGCTGCTCATACTTCTTTATCCAACAGCAATGAAAAGTGACCTTCCTACTGCCAGGCTAGCTACAGACTCAGATCTCTGCTTTTTCTAACCACTTTTTACGCTGGAAGAAGCTCAGTGCTGGGCAGCCACAGATTGAGACCAGATATCTCAGCAAATAATTATTGGGAAACATAATTTTTAATTTTTGAAAAATGAACAAAGAAGATTAGTCAATATTTAAAATAATTATTTTATCACAAATTGAATGTTGCTTATTTAAAACATTCTTAAATGTCCTTTCCCCACTTCATTTTTTTTAGGACATAGAGTATATCCGATCCCACTACAATATTGAAGATTTCATCTACTTCTCCCACCACCAGCGTCGGGAACATACACACTTGTATCACTTTGCCCTGAACCCCATCTTCCAACACTACTCCAAGTTTTTTCTCAAAGAGATCTTCCGTTTAGGCTTTAAGTCCTGTCTCTATTACCCAATATACCAAACATACAGGGAAGGCAAGGTAAGATAATGTTCTAATTCACCTTTCCAGTGTGTGGAAATTTATTTTCTTCCTCTCTTGATGAATTTTGATTCTAACATGGATTCAAACTGGAATAGTTCATATTAAGTTTGACCCTTTGGAGGTATCTTCCAAACAGTGCTTAGGAGGTCCAGGGGTTGCACTGGCAATTCCTTGTCAAACTGGTCAGTATTTCAGTGCAAGGGCCCAAGGATGTAATGCTCTTCGGGCCCTCCAGTGCTGGGAATGCCATGGTCAGCCTGGCAGGTTGGCCTCCAGGCCTCTAACCAGCAGTGCTTAGAGGACTTCAGGCCTTGCATACTCCCTAACTTTTGTATTATCTCCCAGCCTCAAATTTGACTCCTTTAAAAAAAATCTATAGCGAAAATAAAGAAGGCTTTGAATTTCTTTGAATTATTTTGGTTTGTTACAACCAAAATAATTCATAGAGCATTTTGTTGAATTTTCTATATTGATAAAATAATCTGAAAACTGCAAAAAGGGAAATGAAAATTAGATGACTTCTTGAGACATTCATCTGTAGTTGGGCATTTGCATTGTTTCCATATCATGGCTATTGTGTAATTAACACAAGTTTTTTGTGTTTGGGGGATGATGCCAAAAAGTGGTATTACTGGGCTGGTGTTAGTTCTTTTTCTATTTTTTGGATAAATCTCTATGTTGCTTTCCACAAAGAATAAACCAGATGACATTTCCACCAACAGTGGATGAGAATGGATCCAGAAGTTACAGTATATATAACACAATGGAATACCTTATAGGCTCTAAAAAAGAACAAAATCATGCAGTTTGCAACAACATGGATGGTACTAGAAGATATAATCTGAGTAAAGTCAGTCATAAGGGAAAGGATAGATACAGAATGATTCCTCTCATTAGTGAAACTTAAAGATACACAGCAAGCTAGCAACAAAGGTTCAGTGGCAAGGTAGTGAGAGGACCACATGGTTGGGTTGGGGGTAGTTGGGAGAGAGGGGTGTGGAGGTTGGGTACACTGGTGTTGGAATTATGTCTACAAGAAACCATTATTAATAGCATTGCAAACTTCAGAACCTAAGTTAAAAATATTTTTTTTAATTTATTGAATCACTGTGGGAAAGGTTACAAAGCTTTCAGGTTTAAGTCTTGGTCATGCAATCATCAAACACATTTCCCTTCACCACTACTTATTTTTCACCACCAAGAACCCCAATAAACACCCCTTCCCAACCCTCCCAATGCCTGTGAGGCAGATGAATTCTAGTTAACACTCTATCTACTTTGATTAGATTCATTGTTTTGACAAAAGATGCACCATCATTATTTAGAGTTTATCCCCCAAAATCAGACCTGCTGAAAAGGCATTGTGAAATCATTTGTTTCCTACATCTGGTGCCAGAGATAAAATCCAGGTTGGCTGCATGCAAGGCATGCCCTGCCTACTGTACTACTTGCTCTGCCCCCAATCTGTATTTAATAAATACTCATATAAATTGTGCATGACTTGATCCACTTGTGTTGAATAATACTTCAATAAAGAAAACATATCCTATGTGGTGTACATAGCACTCCTTATCATAGCACTTTTCACACGTAAATGGTGCCCTAGACTTAGATGCATTTACCTTGCAGATAGAAATAATTGTCTTGGTCAAAATACTGCATCTGCCACACCTCAAGGACTTAGATATGCAAGTGCACACATACACACATATAGGTTGTCCTTGCATTGGTCTTCAGCTTGGTGTGGACTTGAGAGTGGTAAGGTTCAATCGCAAAACTAGGCAGATGCTATCCCATCAGACCCTGGCATGGTCAACAGCTTTCTCATGTTCTCCCTAGTCTTTGATTGGGTCGTTTCTTTTAACTCTCAAACAAACTAAACAGTTTTTTTTTTTTGCTTTTTTGGGTCACACCTGGCAATGCACAGGTGTTCCTCCTGGCTCTACACTCAGAAATCACTCCTGGAGGTGCTCAGGTGACCATATGGGATGCTGGGAATTGAACCCGGGTCGGTCATGTGCAAGCAAACACCCTACCCGCTGTGCTATCGCTCCAGCCCCAAACTAAGCAGATTTTTAAAAAATTATCTCCTTTATTAAACTTGAAAAAGATCTAAGGAAACTTACTGAATATAATAGTAATTTATCTTGTATAGACTATCTTATCTAACAAAAGCTTTCTTTTTTTGAGAAGTACAGAGGAAATGAAAAAGACAGAAGAAAAGTGTTTTTAGCGAATATGTAAAATATTATCTAGATACATTTTTTCTATAAAAATTCAATGTGGTGACAATGTGAATGCTCTATATTTGAGCTTGATGAGAAGGAAGCTAGCAATTTTACTTGAGAATTCTGATCCTCTATAATTTCTTTTTACTTTTCACTTGGCAAAGTGCCAATCTGGTGACCTTCAAGATGAGATATTAAATTCTTGGTTTTTATTCATGATGTGGCCTATGTGTGCCAGGTTGGTAAAAAACTTGTCTGTATTCACAATAAAAATAGTATTTTGGACTTTCATATTCATATATTTACCTTAATGGCACACGTTTATGACTGTTACATATACTATTTTGTATATAGGGTATAGAAACACTTGGAAACATTTCCTCTCAGTGTGTACTTCTAGTTGTTGTACTCATATATGTTTAGAGAAATTTTAGAAGTACTTCCAATAATATAGGTGAAAATTAACAAATTCAGCTATAATCCGCAGTTGACTAGTAAAAGTGAACTTTTGATTTACATTATAGCACAAAGAAGTGGGTTTTTATTTCTCCAACACTCCCAACAGAGTATGCGTTGAAAGATCTTCCAGACATAAGTAGAGAACCCTACTAGGAATTCTGGGTTCTGTTTTCCAGTTGTAGAATCAAACTGTGAAATTAAGAGGTACAGGATTTTTTAAGAATCACTCTTAGAAGCTTGAAGGGTGTTCGCCAAAACCCTTATGATCTCATAAATATGTAGTTAATATCACCTAGTTCAGTTTTCTCTGCCAAAATTTAAACCTTGTTTAACATTTAAACATTTTAAGCATTCTCTTAAAATATGATCTATCATAGTCCAGTAAACATAAATAAATTCCCATAATGTAGTATGACTATAGGTCAAAATATTATAACCCATCCTTCCTCTCTGCTTTCACTCATTTGGGTTAAAACTCTTATTTTCATCAAAAAAGGTCCTGTAGGAGTGTCTCTCACATTTACAAACAGGAGGATTTTCCCATCTGTACTCACTTGCCCTCAAATGACATTTTTATCTATGTGCCTTCTTAGAGCAGCTTGTGCCAAACACGCAAAGGTTAACAGATAACACATCTTAATGGGGTCAGATCAAGCTGATTCACGATCACTATGGAGAAGAATATCCTCCTGGGGAAAATACTCGTACTGAAAAAAATCCCATAAACCAAACCACTTGTTTATCTGTCATCCCCACAGAGATAGTAATGTAATTACTCTCGTAATTATCTTCATTAGTGTCAGGCATTATCTACAATTCATTCCTCTGCTCTGCTCGGAGAGAGTATGTTTGTTTATTTGCTAGTCCCCAGCCCCCCTTCTCCCACTTGGCAGGGTGCAGGATTCTGTGTCTGTAAAGCCACACGCGGGCACCTGCGCCGCGAGCCCGACCTTCCCCCACTAAGAGACCGCTGTCTCGCAGTTCCAGAGCTCCCCTTCTCCCCCATCCCCCAAGAGACCGCTGTCTTCCTTTTCCCCCCGCTAAGAGATCGCTGTCTTGCAGTTCCAGAGCTCCCCTTCTCCCCCCAAGAGACCGCTGTCTTGCAGTTCCAGAGCTCCCCTTCTGTCTTGCAGTTCCAGAGCTCCCTCGCGCACTCGCTGACGTCCGTCCTGCATCACCTGGTGCCCGTGCGGCCGCGGCGGCAGATCGTCTACCCGCTGGAGAAGCTGGGCATCAATGCCCCGTCCAAGTCGGTCTCCAAGGAGCCGGTGGGTGCGGGCGCAGTGGGGCGCGGTGCAGCCGGGCGGCAGAGGGGAGTTCGGCCTGCGCGGGGCCGCTTAACTACAGGGGCTCCCGCGATTTACCCGCGGCCCTGCCCTCGGGCGGTGTTCCGGAACGGAACCAGGGCCCTGAAGCCCCCGCCCGGCCTCCCCCTGCCCCGCCCCGCCCCGCTGGCCTGGCTCTCGGGCCTGGGGCCTCTGACACACTGACCTCGCCGCGTGGGCCGGGCCCTCCGCGGACAGAGGCAGATTAAAGGGGCGCTGGCCGCAAGGGTCACGGTTCAGGCTTCCCCCGCAGGCGAAGCGCCCGGGCCCGACTGTGCTGGGGGGCACCGGGTGGACGCGCAGCGTCCCGCCACTTCAGTGGGAACACGGCTTTGCCGCGGGGTCTTCGTACGCACACCCTCCTCAGTTGGGGAGCACATCCTCCCGTGGGGCCGACATTTGTCCTTGTGAGAGCTGAAAGCAGAAAGCGGGAGGTTTGAGCTCACCAAAGGTCCAGCCGTGAAACGGCCCAGAACTGAACACGGGTGGGCAGGCAGGAGCAGCTGGCGACCGCGCTTCCCCGCAGGCACCGGGCCCTCCATCAGGACCTCGCTCCCGGGCAGCTGTGCGCCTGCAGCCTCGGCTGCTTTCAGTTCTACATTTACCTGTATATTTGTGAAGACATAAAGATATATATATATATATATATATATATATATATATATATATATACACACACATATATATGAAAAAAAATGTTTAAGACCAGGAACTGGGAACCCCAGTTCCCGCAGGTGCAACCCAGGTTGTCTCCCTTGTAAAAATTAGTATTTTTTGATAAGTTCTCAAGTTATATTTGCCCCAGCTCTTTGCTACGGAAAATGTCAAACATATGCAACAAGTAGAGGGAATTGTAAAATGCAGGACTTGTACATTTTAATCTACTAATTTATCTCCATCATAGACTGATCATTTTGTAGAAAGTGAATTTTTGACAGAGAAAATTCAAATCTAACCAGACACGGAACTACTCTGTCCAGTCACTATGACGTGTTCTCAAGGCTCTCAAGTTCTCTACTTCAAAACCAGTCACAATTTGCTGATGGGCACCTTTCTTAGAACACATGCGGGGTAGAACTGACATTCTCATATGTTTAGCACTCAGCTACAGTGTTTTCAATTTCTGGCCAGTTTTGGATCTTCTACATTCCTGCCCTTCCTCCCACATCCTTTTTGAAGCAAGGCACAGATTCATTAACTTTCATCCAGGATTACATGCGAGTCCTTGGGTAGCAGGATCCACAGCATTGCACACAGACTAGAGACTGGAGCCTCATAGCCATCTGTCAGGAGGACCTGTTGTTAGGGAACATCAGGCAGGCGATCTGAATATATATGGACTCATTTGGTATGAGAACCAAGACTCCTGGGTTTGGAGCAAAGAAAGTGCCTTGGGGTCAGAGTAGGTGCCTTCAGATATAACCATTACAAAAGCACAGCCTGCATAGAGTCATGCTATTCTTAGAAGGAGCAGTTTATGTAAAATACATAGATGTACTCTGTCAAATCAGAAAGAGGAAGAGATGCTGCCTTCTTGTAGCCACTGAGGCACATTCAGGTACATAGAGGTCATACCTTTAAATCAAGAGGTGCCTTTGTATATCAGTGGCAGCCTGTGCGCTGTCAGCTGCCTTCTGGTGGCTTGTACAGTAGGGCTGGAGGGAACAGAAAAAGTTCAGAGAAACCACGTTGACATTAAGAGCCCTGTTTTCTCAGTACCATGAGCCCCCTCTCAGCCCAGACCCCAGGAAAATTCCATGTTCATGACTTTGAAATAAGCTGGAGTTCCAGATAAGGAAAAAAAAATCAGAGAAAACATTTGTTTCCTTAAAAGAAAAAAAACCTATTATTTCATCCCAGGTTAATGAGAGTTGAAATGACTGCTTCAATTTAATAAACTGTATTCTGTTCATCCCATTGTGTCCTGTTCCCTTAGACTTTTTTTTTTTTGCTTTTTGGGTCATACCCGGCGATACACAGGGGTTACTCCTGGTTCTGTACTCAAGAATTACTCCTGGCAGTGCTCAGGGGACCATATGGGATGCTGGGAATCGAACCCAGGTCGGCTGTGTGCAAGGCAAATGCCCTACCCACTGTACTGTTCCAGTCCAGTCCCTGTCCTGTTCCCTTAGAACGCTGGCAGATTTCAGTATATAGTTGAAAATAGATTTTATTGAAATTATTGGTCCAGGAAAACAGCTGCTTAGCAAATGTGCAACGTAAATGCCTGGTACCTGCTATCTTGTGCTGTTTATTGCACTGGTAAATTCTGACTTTTTTTTTTTGCTTTTTGGGTCACACCCGGCAATGCACAGGGGTTACTCCTGCCTGCTTTTGCACTCAGGAATTACTCCTGGCGGTGCTCAGGGGACCATATGGGATGCTGGGAATCGAACCTCGGTCGGCCGCGTGCAAGGCAAACGCCCTACCAGCTATACTATCACTCCAGCCCCAATTCTGACTTTTTAAGAAGAACTTTCACCACTTTCACCACTATATTATTCCGTAGAAGATTTAATAGATATTACAGCGTTAGGGTGTTTGCCTTGCAAGCGGCCGGCTGGTCGACTGGGGTTCGATTCCTCCACCCCTCTCGAAGAGCCCAACAAGCTACCGAGAGTATCTCGCCCTCATGGCAAAGCCTGACAAGCTACCCATGACGTATTTCATATGTCAAACACAGTAACAACAAGTCTCACAATGGAGATGTTACTGGGCCCACTCGAGCAAATCGATGAACAATGGGAGGACACTGCTACAGTGCTACAATATTTAGTAAACAGGATTTTGTGAACATTTTAGAAGTCCTAATGGATCAGAGCATTATTATGACCATTATTCACTTGGGATAGACCTTTATATTTGCAAGTTAAAATGATAAATTATGTACTTAAAATTATTTTTTCTAATAGTTCATGATGGATATGTTGTAGACTATCTAAAATAAAGTGAGCCAATAAAATTAAGAGAAATGCTAGAGTCCTAATTACATTGCTCTTCTTAGCAGTGCAGTAATTATACAGATGTGGAACTGAATAAGACTGAATGATGAATGCTATTGAATGAATTTTCTTTCCTTCAAGTTTCATTCCTAGCCCCTTCTACCTCTCCAGTAGATAAAGCTGTATTGGGGCTCCTCACCCCACCTGCCTTCACACACACACACACACACACACACACACACACACATACACACACACACACACACACACCATGTCCAAACATTTCTCTCAGGACATTTAGTTCTCATACCTTTTATCCTATTTCAACCATCTCTGAATGGCCATCCATTCCCTTGCTCTCACCTAGGAAGCCAGCCTTCAAGGGAACAGATCACTCCAGGCATGAATAATGGGATAGAAAGTGTTTCATCTCAGTGGGTTGCCAATTTAAATCTGGCACAAGTCAGTATGATTGAAATTCATCACTGAATGGCAGGGAAATGTACTCCCCTACCAACCCTAGGAGACCATGGTATTTTCGGCCTGGTTTGGGTGAGAAGTATACTTCCCTGTCATTTTTATTAATCAAAAACCTACCCCTTATTAGTACAAAGACCCAGAAAATACAAAATTTTTATTACATGTTACAGAGGTAGGTTAGGCCCAAAAGATTCATCATGGTATCTACCACAGTCACCTCGTCATGGGTATTGGGACAGGGCTCCATTGCTGGCCAGAATCTGCATGGAACATACCTAAAAGACTCATTTCTTAGCTTGAGTAGGAAATCTTGACCTGTACATTTATTTTCTTTCTTTCTTTTTATTTATTTATTTTTTTGGCTTTTGGGATCACACCTGGCGATGCAAAAGGGTTACTCCTGGTTCTGCACTCAGAAATTATTCCTGGCAGTGCTTGGGGGACCATATGGGATGCTGGGAATGGAGCCTGGGTTGGCCGCATGCAAGGCAAATGCTATACCCACTGTGCTATCACTCCAGTCCCTGTAAATTTATTTTCGGAAAATTATTCTGATAAGAATCTTTTTATGATCAGAGTTACTATGGCCCACTTGTATGAGAATTCTGCTCAGGGAAAAAAAAAAACACTAAGAATTTGACGGGGCTGGAGCGATAGCACAGCGGGTAGGGCATTCGCCTTACAAGCGGCCAACATGGCCGACCCGAGTTCGATTCCTCCGCCCCTCTCGGAGAGCCCGGCAAGCTACCGAGAGTATTCGATATGCCAGACACAGTAACAACAAAGTCTCCAATGGAGACGTTACTGGGCCCACTCGAGCAAATCGACGATCAACGGGAGGGCCTCGAGCTCGAGCAAGAATTTGACTAAATGAGTCCATTAGTCACATTGGAAACAATAGGGTAAGTTGGTCCATGCTTATTTTGGGGTGCTTCTATGTAAGCCTGTTTTTTCCCTTTCTGCACTTCCTAAAAGGGTTTTAGGGTGAATTGTCATATTGAGGTTAGACCCATTCTGCAGAACCTATTGGGAGGGTATGTGTTTGGTCCAAGACACTGTTTTCTTACCAATTCTGAGATCTTCAGTGTGTCGTATTATTTGTCATGTTTAATACCAGAACATCTATTTTGAAATTAAGTAGTTCAAACATTTGCTTCAGTATCAGTAGACTATGTTCCCCTCATGTCCATTTCATTTTAGGGAAATTATGTATGGAATTATACTACACAGAATATATATAGTATTGTTGTGCAGGGGATTGTACAGTGTACATAGAATTATAGTGTGAAATGTCCTCTCTTTCCCTGTCTGCTGCCCCCTCCCCCAACTCACTCCAGCTGAGTTCAGGGACCTGGTGTCACTTTGCCCAGCACTGCTGGCCTGATGGCAACATGTTCAGATCTGGTGATGCAGTATGCTCAGGTTTTGTGATGCTGGGGGATCACAGGGTCATAGCAGTGTGGTTTGGGGTGCAGATCAAACTCAGGGATTTTCACATGCTAAGCATGCACTCTACCTGAA